TACTTCTTCCAAGACAGATTTGTTTGTTCTGACAGTCCAAGTCTTCTCCAACACCGAAATTCCACAGTCTCAATTCTTTGGTCTTCCTAATTCATTGTCCAGCTTTCACTTGCATATGAGATGATTGAGAATACCGTGGCTTGGGTCCAACGCAAAGTGACATCTTTGCTTTTTTATGTTTGTTGTTAAGTACCACTGTGTCGGTTCCTAGTCATAGCGACCTTGTATAGGGAGGGCCACTGCATTGGTTTCTACTCATAGCGACCTTGTATAGGGTTTCCAGCAAGCGGCTAGTGGGTTTGAACCAGTGACCTTGTGGCTCAAACCGACCTTGCAGTCTAGTGCTCTATCCTATAGCACCACACCAGGACTCCCCTGTTTTTGGTCCAAAACAGTGGTGGCAGTACCCACTTCCATATTCATGTGTTTCTATAGGGAGATGGACACGGTTTATCTGAGCAGGTTGTTTTCAGAGTTCTAGTATATGCAGGTCTCTAAGTCAGGCGGTTAACAACACTGGTTATATGTCCTGTTAAAGAATGTTTATTCTAATAAAGCTGTTTGGTTGTATGAATTTAAAATATTTTATGGACTCAAGTATGTTGAGTTGTTTATAGTTTTCCATGTTAACTTTCTAACATTGCAGGACTTTCTGGAGAATGATTTTATAGTTAGAGATTTAAGATGTTCATCTGTATCTAAACTGAGTCCCATCTTAGTAGATACCTTGTTTTGATGCACCAAAACAGCCCCACAAAACAAGACCCCAAGACCAAACCCACTGATGTTGGTTGATTCCAACTCCCAGTGATCCTGTAGGACGGAGTAGAACTGTCTCACATGTTTCCAAAACCATAATCTTTACTGCCCCATCTTTCTCTGCAGAGCGGCTGGTGGGTTCAAACCATCAGCCTTTAAGTTCACTGCAGAGTGCTTAACCACTGTGCCACCTTTTTGGAGTCCTGGTGTGTCGCCATAGGATAAGCACTGGAATGCAAGGTTGGTTTGAACCACAAGGTCAGCAGTTCAAACTCATTAAAGTGCTCCTTGGAAACCCTATACAGGGTTGCTGTGAGTCGGAACTGATACGATGGCACAACAATAGCAAATAGTTGATGACACGTAACAACAGCAAGAACAATATTAAATTTAATTTTAGATTGCCAAGTCACCTGTTTTTTCTTTTGTATTATTTCAGAAAACTTTTTCAGTTCTAATACCCATTTCATTGTTAGTAGTTCTAAGTATGACAGTTTATTTCTCTGTCCTCCAGCCTTTCTGGAAATACAGGAAAACTCTTTAAAACTATCTTCCATGATTTTAAATCAAAATAGTTTTATTTCAATCAAAACCATTGGGATAAAAACTAAAAAACAAAACATTGGAATGAAACTAATAATGATATGTAACATATGCAAATTTCATGGTAACGAATGTGCTGATAACGTGGTTGATAATATACATGATAAAATGCATTTTACATGTTAGGCTTTCTTGTGTGGTCAAGTGTAATCTGAGTGTACAGAATTTCTGTGGTAATCCAAGTGTACAGAATTTCTCATACTATAAATTCCAGACAGTTATTCAAATTTCAAAAGAAATTTTGATTTTGAAGTATGTTCACAAGTATCTTGAGTGTATGGGTTTGAGCCACTGACTTGTGGTTAGCAGCCTGGTGCTTATCTTACAGCGCCACACCAGGACTCTGTCTTGATTTAAAATGAGTGTATTTGCACACATTTTTAAGACAGTTATAGTTCTTTAAATGTCAGTGAGATATTTGAAACAATGTTCCCCACTAGAATTTAGTCTCTATTTTGGCCCATTGCTCTGGTTAGGGCAAAAGGAAAGAACAAAGAATTTAATGTTGCTAGTGTTCTGGTTTTTCATTTTGCTGTGTGACAGACCACTCTAAAACTTAGTGGCTGAAAACACCCATTTATTATTTTGTCTTATGTTTGTGGGTGGACCAGAGTGAGTCTTGTGTAGGTTCTCTCTGTCCTTGCAGTCTGTGGTGGAGTTTAGGCGTGTGAAGGTTCAGCTGGACCACCTGTCCCAGATGACTTATTCACATGGCTGACAGTTCTTATGGCCTTTCCGTGTGACATGGGCTTCCCTCAACACGGAAGCTGGATTCTATGAGGGAGCCCCAAGGCTAAGGTCTTCCAGAAGCCAGCTGGTAGCTACGAGCATTCTTATGACCTAAATTCAGAGCTTTCTAGACCACCATTTCTACTAGATTTCACCTGGCCAACCACATCTCTGAGGCAGCTTAGATCCAAGTGGAGGGAAGTTAGACTCCATCTCTTGGTATAGGAGCAGCAGCATGTGGGCAGAGGAATTGATGGAGACTGCGGAGACTACAACTGCGTAACTTAAGGCCCCCTGGGTAGTGTAGTGGGCTGCTAACCACAGGGTCGTTGTGGAAAAGATGAGGCTTTCTGCTCCTAGAAAGGTTTATAGCCTCGGACCCCTTCTAGGGGTTGCTGTGAGTCAGAACCGTGCACACCATGGCCAGCCTAGCAGCATAAGTTCTGAGGTTTCAGTTTTAGTAGGGTACTAAACTTGCAAGTGATTCATGTTGTTGGAGGCTGGTGGGTTGATTCCAACTCCTAGTGACCATATAGGACATAATAAAACTGTCTCATAGGCTTTCCCAGGCTGTAATGTTTACTGGGGTGTCCCGGTGTGGCGCGGCAGGTTAATGCGCTGGACTGCAAGGTCGGCTGTTCAAGCTCACCAGCGGCTCCTTGAAAATCCTATACAGGGTTGTTATGAGTTGGAACTGACTCGATGGCACTAACAACAGTGTTTACTGGAGCAAATCACCACGCCTTTTTTCCTGTGCAGCAGCTGGTGAGTTGAAACCATCGACCTCTCGGTTAGCAGCCGAGTTTTCAGCCGTTGCACCTCCAGGGCTCCTTACAGTATGAAGTATATCTGAAACAACCAAGTATTGCTTCTGGGGTTTCTTGGTTCTTTTATTCGTGTGTACTTGTAGGGCTTTACTTAGAGCAGTGAATGGATATGTCCAGTTATTGGCCCATTTTTCACTTAGGTTCATTCATGGAATTGGACGATCGGGTGATATTGCTGCCGTTCAACCAAAAGCCGCAGGTTCTAGCCTTTTGAACAAAATTACCAATTCTTTAGTCCTGGACATCATAAAGTTGGCTGGTATGTACCATGTTCATCATCATACTTGTGGCTGACTAACTGTACACATCTTTACCTAAATTTTTTTTATTGATGTTTCTTTTCAGAAAGGGTCTAAGTGGTTTCTGAAAAGACATGATTTTTAGACTATGGGACAGGCTTGTCAGTGAGCTTCCTGAAAAGGGAATGTTAGGGGTATAGTTATTATTTGATAGAAGAAGAATACTATTTTTTTAGGAAGAATACTAGCTTTTCAGTGGAATAACTAATTTGTTTTACTTTTTATTCATAGGTGTCCATACAGTGGCCAGCTGCTTTGTCGTTCCCATGGCAACTGGTATGAGTCTAACCTTGTGTTTCTTAACGTTACGGCACAAGAGACCAAAGGCAAAGTACATCATATGGCCACGGATAGACCAGAAGTCCTGCTTTAAATCCATGATCACCGCAGGTAAAAGAAGAGAATGTTATCAAGTACTCATTTTCCCAGCTAGAAATGTCCAGCTTCTTGTATGTTGTTGTTGTTATTGTTGGTGTGCCATGGAGTTAGTTCCGACTCATAGTGACCCTGCATATGATTTCCAAGACTGCAAATCTTTACAGGAGCAGAAAGCCTCATCTTTCTCTCGCAGAACGGCTGGTAGTTTCGAACTGCTGACCTTGAAGTTAGCAGCCTGACTCGTAACCACTACACTACAAGAGCTCCATTCTTATATAGTTAGGTAAACAAAAATGATACTAAGCTGCTTTTCATTCTTTAAAATGGGGAATATTATCACTTTCTCACAAGATTGTTTTGAGGATTAAATGGGATGACATGAAAATTCCCAACAGCAATCCCTACAACATAGGGTGCTTCAGGAATTCAGGAATATTTGCTAAATACATATGAGGGGGACTTCATAAAGTTTGTGGAAATTTTCATTATCTTCCTTTTTCTTTGAAGGTACAGCCAGTTTAATCTGTGGCTGTAGGCATTGGGGCATACCCCAGGTTGAATAGCACCATGCATGAGACAGCGATTGTTAGGTGATGAAAACTAGAACCCCATTTGTAACGACCTTTTTTTTTAAAGTTTTTATTGTGAATTGATTGAAAGTTCACAGGGCAGATTATCAGTTTTACATTCAACAAATAATATACTTTGTTTCATTACAATGGTTATAATCCCCTCTATGTACCATCAGTTAACAGCATTTCTCTAGTCATTTTAGCTTTTTTTTTTTTTTTAAACACGCAGGCATATATAATAATTTACACCACCAAAGGGCACATTCTGCGTCTGCCTCCTGGCCATCAGCTCTCAGTCCCTCTCTTCCCATGAATCTAGAATCCTCAGCTGCTCCCTCTCTCCATGTCTCCATCTCTGCCTCCATCTCTGGTGTCGCTGCTTCTCTGGATAAGGTCCCTTATTCCGCTTGTGCTCTTCTCCCTTAATGGTCCTAGGGTCCTTTGTTTTTGAACAGTAAGATTAACTACTCTCCCATTTTTGTTAACAAAACTTCTACCTTTACAATGTGACAGTTGCAATTAGTCGTGATAACAATTACTCACTATTGAATCATAAGAATCTTATCCCCATCTGCTTTTACCAGATTCATCGAGATAAGATGAAAACTATTCAGTGGGGACTCTTTCTTTCCCCACACACTCTTAAACTTAACTCCCTCTTGAAACCTGTAAGCCAGTCACTTCGTGCCTTTAACGCCCCCTCATTTTAGGTAGCCAATGTCTAAGTTGCCTGTCTCTATCTACCCTGCGTACAGAGGGGATAGCATTGATACTTGATGTGAAGATTCCTTCCCTCTCAGGCGGTATTTTGAGCTACTACTTCCATGAATATGGGTCAAGTTCATCAAATTGTAGCAAATTACCCTTGTTTCTTTTATCACATTTTTTTGTTTGTTTTTTTTTTTTAATCTTCCTCCAATTTCTCTAGTTCTGATTGCCAAGCCATCGAGGCTAGGTCAAATGGGGACTGAACTATCTTCAAGTTTGGGTGCTCTTGTGCATCTCCCTTCACTTCATATTAGCTGGATGCTTCACTTTCAGCTCTAGCCATCTGTGGCTGTGTCCTTGTCCATGGGTTCAGGTGACCCAGGTCTCACCACACTTCGGACGAACCAGCCCTTCCTCTTCTCTGTCTCACCTCCAGGGCAATGGGAATCTATGGAATGTGGTTGAACTCAGCCCATTTCTTCATTGCTGCCTTTCCCCCATTTCCACTTACCAGTAAACTAATGTGGTTGCCAGCAAGCTTACATATCTGCTCATGTATTCCCTTTGAGTTTCAGTCATAGAGAGGGGTTTGTCCTGAAGGGACTTGATTACTTGCCTTGATAGCTTCCCAGCGAACAACTTGCTTATTCTTATAGTAGCCAGTCATACTGACATTTTTGTTTTGTTTTTTTCCTGCTAATCTTCCTTTGAAAATGTATCTTCTGTGCTCTAGCTGTACCAGGCTGGTCTGCTTGTCCTTTCTGGTGGGAATGTCCTACCTCAGAAGGTCCTGGGTAGGGCTCAGTGTTTAAAGTTATTTTAGAATGCTCTCACTGTTGTATGAAATAAACCGTTTTGGGCTGTGAATTAATCTCCATAAGTAATCCTAAAGAAACTCATGCGAAAGTATTCGGAAAAGGGTATGTAGTAGAAACTGATAGGCTTAAAAAAATATTGTACTGATTTATTTTAAGTGTCATAAACTTACCAAGTCTGTTCATCCGCATCTTGTTAACCAAAGAACTGATAACCAAATTTATTGAAAAGATTGTCATTTTGAGAAACTAAAAATCATTCCAAAAGAGATTATGATATAGATTATAGTCTAGAGATTAATTTTATTTTTTAGGACACTCTACATTCATAATCAGTAAGATATATTCTTTAAAATGACTAATATTTTAACGGTTGAAGAGCAAAAATAGATTCAACCTATAAATTGTTGAATGGGAAACTAATCTGCTCTCTAAACTTTCGCCCAAACAGCAAATAAAAAAGTAAAATAGTTTCATAATATCAGTAGTAGTATTAACAATAAAATGAGCAGAATGGGGGAAAATTGTGTCTAGAGAATTTGAGAAATAATAGAATATTGTTGTTGTTATTTGTCATCGAGTTGGTGCCAACTCATAGTGACCCTATGCACAACACAACGAAACACTGCCCTGTCTTGGGCCAACCTTACAATTGTTGCCACACTTGAGCCCATTGATGCTGCCACTTTGTTAGTCCATCTTGCTGGGGGGTCTTCCTCTTTTTATTTGACCCTCCATTTTACCAAGGAGCTCTGGTTTTTCTCTGACCCTCCAACTTACCAAGGAGCTCTGGTAGTGTAGCGGTTACAAATTGGGCTGCTAAGCTCAAGGTGAGCAGTTCGAAACTACCAGCTGTTCCGTGAGAGAAAGACAAGGCTTTCTGCTCCCGTAAAGATTTACAGCCTCAAAAACCCTGTACAGGATCGCTGTGAGTTGGAACTGACTCCATGGCACATCACCACCACCACCACCACCACCACCACCTTACCAAACATGATGCCATTTTCCAATGACTGGTGTCTCCTGACAATATGTTTGAAGTATGAGAAACGAAGTTTGGCCATCCTGGCCTCCAAGGAGCACTCTGGCTGCACTTCTTCTAATAATAGAAAATTACTTGTTAGGAATTTGAATAGTTTCATTTAATAACTGCACAGGTACTCATAGATGTACGCAGCATTTCTAAACTAATATATTTGTAAAGGTAGCTAGCAATTGATGATTTTATCATGGCTGAAACTTTATATTTTGTAGATAGAACCTAGACAACTTGATGTGAATTCAAAAGCAACAAAAGAAAACTAGTTGCCTTTTACTTTGTTTTAAATTGCTGGATGACCTTGAGGAAGCCGTTATGTCAGAATTGAGTTGAACTAACTAATTCTTGCATCTTCAGTCCATGAATCTAGCCTGTTGCCTAGGCATTTGGGAAGGCTAAATAATGTGATTACATAAAACGTTTGTGTATAAAGAGGATTTCAGAGAATAGTTTTGGTTTGAAGGTTAAGGTTTAAAGATTGTCTCGAGGAAATTGTTACAGCATTCATCCAAACTCACTGGCTCCAGAAAGTCAGGATTCCATCAAGAATTTGATGTTTGTGCTCCACATTTTTTTCCTTTTGATCACGATCCTTTTGTCAACTCTTTGATCAGAATGTTGAGCCAGGCACCATTGAGTCTTGGTCTCGTGGACAGATTGACAAATAGCAAGGTGAAAGGCAGTGGGCTCATGTTAATGGGGGTGGACTAATTCTAAAGGCACAACCTGAAGAATGTAATTCATGCCACTAAATTCTACATGTAGAAATTGTTGAAATGGTAAATCTTTTTACCAAAAAGTAGAATTTGAAAACCCAAACTTTATGTATAGTATGTACCAAATTGATTTTCTATCGCATTTTTAAGACTTAAGCACTAACATTTTACTTCCAAGTATTATATCACAAAGTACTTAGTTCTTTTAACTACTTTGTATGTTATTTAGTGTATATATTGATTTATTCAAATTTCAGTTTGTTGTTGTTGTTGTTAAGTGCTGTCAAGTTGATTCCAACCCATAGCAACTGTATAGGGTTTCCGAGGAGCAGCTGGTGAGCTTGAATCGCCCACCTTGCGGTTGAAATGGCTTTGCAGTCTGGCATATTGTCCCACAGCGCCACATCAGTACTCCGTTTGTAGATACCTAAATATTTATCATAAAAGGGTATATAATTGTTGTTTTGGGGACTTTCGATTATGTGATAGTTAAGTGAACTGTTTCCATTGAGAAATTGGAAAAAGTTTGTATATGTAAATCATAACAGATTCCTAGAAGTTATTAAATGGATCAGAGATTCTAGGACTCCTGAAATTCAGTACGTTTTTCTTTAGAAGTGAAACTTGAAGTTGACAATTATGATTTATTTCAATTTTTCAATAATTCTATCATTTATGTCCATTTCCAAAGCAAAGTGAATTTAAAAATGAAACTTATATAGAGCCATAAAATGAGCAATGTCAGTCTTTTCTGTGGACTGAAATTGAATTGGACTCTGATCCTTATTGTCAAATATATCACACAGAGATATTTGACATTTGCTTGCCTTTACAGAATCCTTCTTTATATCCAAACATGGATGGTTCTAATTGTGGTCTAGCTGTCTTTGCCTTTACTTTTACTGGCCTTTGACTATTGCTAGTACTGATCCAGCTCTTTATCACTGGAGGAGAGTTCTCTGACCTTGGACCTCAAGGTCGGCAGTTCAGACTCCCCAGCCGTTACTCAGACACCTGCCCTGTACAGGGTCTCTATGCGTTGGAACCAACTGGACTTGACAGCACTTAACAACAACAATAACTATTGAGAGTTCTTGTGTAGAATAATAGCCTTGCTTCCTGGATTTCCCCAGACTTCCATTTGCACTAACATTGTGACCTTGGTTGGCTTGGTTAGGTTTTGAGCCGGTGGTGATAGAGAACATCTTAGAAGGTGACGAGCTGCGCACAGACCTGCAGGCAGTGGAAGCTAAAGTCCAGGAACTCGGGCCAGATCACATTCTGTGCATTCATTCTACTACCTCCTGTTTTGCTCCAAGGGTGCCTGATAGGTAAATTATTTGTGAATATTGTCTTTTAGGTGCTCATATAGCTTTTAAGTAAAATGCAGGCATGCTAATTCTCAAATACGCTAAAGTAGCATTTGGTAGTCAAGAGGTAAAGGCTGTCTTAGGAGACTAGGTTAACCTCATGGAAAATAGCACAGAAATGGCGTGGGGAAGTAAAAAAGAAGGAAGAAAACTAGGAGTGGGTAGAGTGGGTCTTCTTGCTCTTTGTCCTATGGGTCGCTTAGATCTTTTTTCGCCTCACGGTTTAATAGAAGTTTCTTTCCTAAGCTAACTATTGGGCTGACTTGTTTTCACTGTTTAGGAACTATCACTATTAACAGATTTTAAGCTAAACAGTTTACGATTGTTAACTTTCCTTTGAATTTTTTGATTGGAAGATTAACCTAGTGATTGCCTTTGCATTTGGGAGACACAGCAGATATTTTAAGGAAATAGAACCAAAAAGATAGAACTAGATAGCAGTATTTCCTTTTTTTAGTGATAGCAGCTAACATTTTTACTTTGAAAATGTGTGACTTAGTTTAATAATACAGATTATAGTTTTCACAACTCATGTTTTGTTTCATTTAAACAGTTTGAACAAAAGTGCTAAAAATTTGTAAGAGCTACATTCTTGTAGCCTCAGATTATACTTTGGTTTTAATTCATGGAGTCACATAATTTGGCAGTGATGAATGAATGTTAGCTTTTATTATTTTAGAGACAGATTTTAGGAGACAATTTAAAAAATGTTCTTGAAAATAAGACTAGTTCATGTGTTCCTTTGAGTAAGTTCCGACTCATAGTGATCCTGTATAGGGTTTCTGAGGAGCAGCTGGTTGGTTTGAACCACCAACCTTGTGGTTAGTAGTCCAGTGCTTATCCTGCAGTGTTTTGCCGACTCTGTTTAAGAAACTATGGATTCTATTTAAAATTATATCACATGTGTTTTTAGTGATTTATTTATTACCGACCAATAAAAAATTTTAAATTTGTATTAAAATATTTAATGAATCTCTCTATTCTTTGTTTATTGATAATTTTTACATACAGAAAATTTTTAATGTGAAACCAATTCTGTTTTTAAGAACAACATGTGAAAAGTTTTGATACTTTTGTTTCTGTCTAATTTTGACTAATGCCTTTTGATATTTTATAGTATGATTGGCATGGTGTTAAGTATTTTGCTTGTGTTATTTCCCTTGGGGAAAAAAATCATAATCTTTCATTTAAGCAGATTCTTACTGGTCACTTTCTGAGTGCTTTTATCTAATGAGTGTTTATGATATGGGTTTATGAAAATGTTCAGGAAAATGATGATACATAGTTGTTAATGATAAGTTTAAATTTCTGATTATATAAAATTGAAAAAAAAAACATATTATTTACATCAAGATTAATTCACTTTTAGTCTTAACTTGAATGGGTGTAGTATATATTTAGAGTCCTGGTGTGGTGCTGTAGGATAAGCATTGGACTGCTAACCACAAGGTTGGTGGTTCAAACCCACCAGCAGCTCCTTGGAAATCCTGTACGGGTCACTGAGTCGACAGGACAGCATTTAATAACTACAGTAGAATCTTGTTTTCATTAGCTAATCAAACATAGTAGTGTGGGAGAAGATCAGTTAGAGGAAATGCTAAAATGGGAGTTATTTCTTCTGATAAATACCTTAAATTTGCATATCAGTTAGAATACAATGTGTTTCATATAGAAAATGTTCTTTTCTGTTTCTCCTTGCCTTTTATTTAGTATTTTTTACATATACTAAATACTAGCAGATTCAGTCAATTTTTAGAATGTTTTAAAATTACTTGCAAATTACTTTACCTTTTTAAAATAGGACTTTATGTTAGGGTGTCTTTATTTCAAGGAAATTCTTTATTAAGGAATGTTTTCATTAGAAGACATATGCACGAAGTACTTTTTATGAAGCTAATACTTGAGTATATCCCAGATGTTCTGTTTTGTTGAAAACATCATATAATTAGTTTCTGTTAGGATTTGTGAGGTTTATGAAAATGAATAATAAAATGAGTTAATTCATGAAATGCCAAGAAAGCAAATTGAAAACTTCTTACAGTTGAATATTATGTTTTTCCTATAGTTTAAAACCATCAGTTCACAACGCTAGTAAAAGGGAAGGAATTATATGAGACGGTAATAAAACTATGATGTATATTTATAGAATATCCTTTGGAAGAGAACTTTTATTGCTCAAAGTGGTTTGCTTCCAAATTCTTTGTATTTAGGAAGAAAATTAAAAGAAGCTTAATTTTATTAAACCATAAGATTTTGTTTTGTAGTATGAAGACATTTCTGTTGCAGATGACCTTAGTCACAGGTAGTATTTGGTTTTGTGAAGGACATCTATTGATTATGCTCTAATTGAGAAGTATTATCTTACTTTGCATAGATTTAGACTCTCAAATTCAGTTCCTGTGAAGGGCATCAAATGAAAGCTTGAGTAGGTTTAGAATCAGCAGCTATTTAAAAGATGCTCTTTAGTGCCCATGTTGTTGAAAACCAGTTATTTTGATACTATAACACTTTAATGTTATGCATTTTTTAATGTGTTAAAGCCTATTTGAAAATGTAGTTTTTATTTTATGTGATGTTTAATGTGCAATTTCTTAAGATTTATACATATGCTAATTATTTTGCAGAAATTCATTGTAGTACAATAAGCCTCCAAACCCATTTAAAAATGAATGTGTCCCCTTTCGAGGAGGGTTCATTGCAAATAATCTGCTTCATGCTTTTTAAAATAGGAAATTTTTAATGGCTCAAAAGCTACTATCTACATAAATTTTTATAAATATGTGCTTTTTCATTGGAGTCTTTATGTGGCGCTGTGGGTTAATGCGCTGGACTGCAAGGTTGGTGGGTTTGAACTGCAAGGTTGGTGGTTCAAGCTCACCCGCTGCTCTGGGGAAACGCTATACAGGGTCAGTGTGAATTGGAATCAGCTTGATGGCACTTAACAACATCAACAATCTACATAAATTTTTATTAATACGTGCTTTTTCATTAATTGGTAACATTAAATGCTTATTCAGGTTTATTCTAAAGCTACTGATAAATAATCTAGATTATGTGCTGAAACACTGCATTAGAAATGTCAATGTTTGGCATCTTTTTCCCTGGTATGTGGAGTAATTTATAAAGTACAGTACAAGTGTGTCTTTCTTTCTGTTGACTCTGTTCATAGATTAGAAGAGCTGGCTGTGATTTGTGCTAAGTACGACATTCCACATATAGTCAACAATGCATATGGCATCCAGTCTTCAAAGTGCATGCACCTCATTCAGCAGGTAAGAGACTTTCAAAAGGTGTATCAAGCAAGCGTGGCTTTAACAGATTGCAGGGGAACACTTTGTTGTACTTGCCACTTATTGCAGGAAAAATAGTTATCTAGTACCCTTTTTTAAAGGACCCCTGGTGGTACTGTAGGATAAGCACTGGACTGCTAACCAAAAGGTCACCAGTTTGAAGTCACTGACTTGATGGCACTAACAACAACATTGCGTTGTTGTAGATACTTTCTGATCCTCTGAAGTTTTAAACCAGAAAGCAATGTGTGAGCATTTTTTTTATCCACACACTGGCCCTCATGAAAAGCAGTGGTGTTTTATTTGCCTTAAGCATGGGACATATTTGGGTATGGTTGAGCACTAGTTGCTGTTTCATGACTAGCAATTGTTTTCTAAAATATGAGGGGCTTCAAAAAGTTGGTGGAAAAATTCCATTATCTTTCAGTTGCATTTTTCCATGAACTTTTTGAAGCCCCTTCACATTCAGGTTAGCTTTTCCTGTTGCCATCAAGTCCTTTCCAACTTAGGGTGATGAATTCTTGTGCTCCAGATGATTTTCTTGGAAAGTCTTCATGGAAGTAGATTGCCAGCTTTTTCTTCTGTGGTGCCGTTGGGTGGTTTCAAACTACTACCACCCTTTAGGTTAGGAGTAGAGCTCAAGCCATTTGTTAGCCGCCCAGGGGCATCTAAAGTTAGCTTTTGCTAGTAGTATATGCTTAATGTTTAATAAACACCCACTGTGTGTTAGGTTATCTGACTGGGGCTTTAATGTTTAATCCTAGCAATTTAAGGCATACTTCTTACTGTCTCCATTCTAACATGAAAACACAGAAGCTGGTGGGTAAAATGATTTTCTCAGGGCTCTGTAACTGCAGACTGGTTCATCTTTTTCAGTGTGATTCCAGAGCCCCATATTTATCTTAATAATCAAAGTACTAAAAACACATTTCTTTCTTAGAAAAAATGTTAGGTGCCATCGAGTCGATTTGGACTTATGGTGATCCTGTATAGGGTTTCTGAGGAGCAGCTGTTGGGTTTGAACTGCTGACCTTGTGATTCGCAGTCTAGTGCCGATCCACAGTGCCACCCCAGGAGTCAGTCAGTGAAGGCAGAGCTCTAACAGTTGTTTCAGGGTTCTTTCTCTAAGGGAGATACATGGGCCTGCTTGATGTCGAGTGAGTAGGATACGCTGGTGTGCACTGTGGAGTCCCCAGGGAAGTTATCTTTGAAGAACCCATATTTGTGGTTTTTATTCAAAAATGAATACTTTTGAATCTTCGTGGACTATGGATGTTACATAGGCAGCTACTAGAGTCATAATAATATAATGTTGTTGTTAAGTACTGTGGAGTCGGTTCCGACTCATAGTGACCCTACACAGGGTTTCCAAGGCTGTAAATCTTTACGGGAGCAGAAAGCCTCATCTTTCTCTCGCAGAACAGCTGGTAGTTACGAACTGCCGACCTTGAGGTTAGCAGCCTGATTCGTAACCACTGTGCTATCAGAGCTCTTTAATATAATACATATATACATATCTGTATCTATGGTTATTTATTTTAGCCTCAGTGGATTGTAAAGATCCAAGAGTGTGGAAGCAGCAGCTGCATTGTGTGTGTGTGAGAATTTAAGAGAAGTAGGTGTTACTTTGGGTAATGTGGAGGGTCAGAGAAAAAGAGGAAGACCCCTAACGAGATGGATTGGCCAGGTGGCATCATTGATGGACTCAAGTGTGGCAGTGGTAGGGAGGTTGGCCCAGGATTGGACATTGTTTCATTCTGCTGTGCATGGGGTCGCTATGAGTCGGTTATGACTAGATGGCACCTGACAACAACAACAACAAAGGTGTTACTTACTTGTAGGAGCCTGGGTGATACTGTAGGATAAGCACTGGCTGCTAACCAGAAGGTCAACAGTTCAAACCCACCAGTCACTCGATAGTAGAAAGCTTTCTGCTTCTGTAAAGATTTATAGCCTCAGAAACTCTACACAGGGTCCCTATGAGTTGGAATCAACTCGACCGTGACTTTTGGGGTTTTTGAGGTGCAACTACTACTTATTGACTCACAGATGTAGTTGTCAGTTCATTCAGTGTGTATCTTCCAGGTTTCCACGTCATGTGCCAGGCACTGGGGTAGGCATTGAGGATGCAGTAGTGAATGGAAGAGAATCTTCCTCCTGGAACATAGTGTTTTTGTGGAGAATCAGACAGGAAACAAGGGGCCCTGGCTGTGTAGTGTGTTACACATTGGGCAGCTAACTGGAAGGTCAGCAGTTCGAGTCCACCAGATGCTCCAAGGGAAAAAGAGGACTCTTTTCTCTCCTGAGAGTAAAGATTTACAGTTTCAGAAACCCTAGCAGGGTCACTGAGTCGGACATCACACAATCACCAACCACCAGGCAGGAAACAGCGATGCCAGATCTTAATATATGCTGTGGAGTTGGGGTGGGGGTGTGGAGGTGGGCAGCAAGAATCTAGTTACATGGAGTGATCTGAGAAGGCCTCTCTCAGAAGTGGCATCTGAGCAGAGCCTTGGTAGGCCAGGCAGCACTGGAGAGAGATTCCAGACAGGAAGTAACACCAAGTACCCAGGCAGGCGGGAGTCTGCACGGAGACAAGTGTGACTGGGCCAGAGTGAAGGGTGCAGTGGGAGTGCATTAGCTCAGAGGTTTGATTCTTGCTGTAACCTTCAGCCATCTGTAGGGTGACATGAGGCGTGTGTATTGAAACCATCATTCTAGCTGGCATGTGGGCAACAGACTGTAGTGAGACCAAGGCAGGAGTGGAAGGCTGTTGTAGCAACCCAGGAGAAAGAGGATGGTGGTTTTGGCCCAAGAGGTAGTTGTGAAGGTGGTGAGAAATGGTTGGATTCTGAGGTAGTTTGGGAGTGATGTCTTCAGGGTGTGCTCGTGGATTAGATTTGGAATTCAGGATTCCAAGGTTTTTTGTTTGAGTAATAAGGTGGTGTAAGTGGTTAACGCACTTGGCTACTCGTCAGAAGGTTGGAGGTTTGAGTCCACCCAAAGGTGCTTCAGAAGAAAGGCTTGGTGACCTGCTTCTGAAAAAAATCAGCCGCTGAAAACTTGGGAATACTGTTCTACTCTGATACACAGGAAGTCACCAGGAGTTGGAGTTGAATCAATGACAGCTGGTGTGTTTTTGTTAAGCTGGAAGAATGGAAATGCCATTGGAGCAATATTTTCTTTTTAAGCATGGGCTCTTCTTCCAGATTATCTAGATTCTAATCATTGTCATTAATTGCCTGGTGACCCATCTGTGCTATTAACTAACTATCGGTTTGACCTTGGGCAGGTGACTTTTCATTTGATTGTGCTGTGCTTTCTGTAGACAGGTATTAGAGAAGCATGTCCTTCCTGTTATTGTCAAGCTTAAATAAGTTATCACTGTACAGTGCTTCTAACAGTGCCTGGCACATAGCACTCAATATATTCTGACTGCAGTTATTTCAGGAACAATTCGTTAACTCACATAGGGAGTCCTGGCATGGCTAGTAGCAAAAACAGTGGATTGCAAGGCCGGTTTGAACCACAAGGTCAGCTGTTCAAATCTACCAGCTCCTGCTCAGAAACTGTGAGGTCAGCTATTTAAACTCACCAGCTGTTCCTCGGAAACCCTGTGCAGGAAACTCTGTGCAGCATTGCTATGCTTTGAACCGGGTTGATGACACTTAATAACAACAATAATTACAGACTCCACAATTGACATTTATTTTGAAGTAGAGGATTACAGATGGGAGGACCCGGCATCCAGTCTTCTGACCTCAGTTTAAGGTGTGAAGCTTTGTCTCAGTGCAGTTCCCCCTGAACTGTCACAGAACACATGCCTGCCTCACTGACTTACTGTGAGGGTTAAATGACTTATGCAGGAAAGCAGGTTATAAACTAATGAAGTGCTGTTCCAAATGCAGGGGCCACCATTTAAAAGCTGAAGTTTAATATTTAAAAACAATTTCTTGGCACTGCCACAGAGAATCTTCTGGTTTTGATTTCTGTGAATTGTGTTAGTAGCATTTATTTTCTTATTGCTCTCCTAACAAGGAATACGTAATGGTACTTGTTATTTCATTCTAGGGGGCTCGACTTGGTAGAATTGATGCTTTTGTTCAGAGCTTGGACAAAAATTTTATGGTTCCAGTAGGTGGCGCTATAATTGCTGGCTTTAATGATTCCTTCATTCAAGAAATCAGCAAGATGTACCCAGGTAAATAAAATCTGTTTGCTCTTCAGAAAAAAAAACTGACAAACAAAACCCATTGGTAGTGGTTACCAATCAGGTTGCTAACCTCAAGGTCAGCAGTTTGAAACTATCAGTGGTTCTGCGGGAGAAAGATGAGGCTTTCTGCTCCTGTAAAGATTTGCAGCCTTGGAAACCCTGTGCAGGGTCACTATGAGTCGGAAGCGACTCCACGATACTTAACAACATCAACATTGGCTACTGTAATAAATGCTCATTTCCAAAGCCTTTTTTCTCCTCTGAATGTGATGTGTTCGTCCTTATTTCAGGAAGAGCATCCGCTTCACCGTCTTTGGATATCCTTATTACTTTATTGTCGCTTGGATCCAATGGCTATAAGAAGCTGTTGAAAGACAGAAAGGTAAGCTTTCCTTGGAGATGTGACGCCATCCTCTTGACTGGAGCAGTGTTCTAGAATGTTGGTGCCTTGTCCCCACCACTGACTGCTAGCTTAGTTCAGGACAGCTGCAGAGTTAGAGACAAGGACAGGATGGGTAGGGTAGTGGTTGTATGCCATTTCACTCCAGCATTCCCACCTGCACTGATTTTGTACATCAGACTACTGTTGTTGTTAGGTGCCATCGAGTCGGTTCTAACTTGTATCACCCTGCACACAGCAGAGCCAAACCTGCTCAGTCCTGTGCCTTCCTCACAGTTTTGTCAGGTTTGAGCCCATTATTACAGCCACTTTGTCACTCCATTTCCATGGGAGTCTCTTTCTTTCTTGCAACCCTTGACTTTGCCAAACACACTATCCTCCTCCAGGGACTGTTCCTTCCTGATATCATGTCCAACGTATGTGAGACCAAGTCTTACCTTCCTCACTTCAAAGGAGCATTCTGGCTGCACTTCTTCTATAACAAGAAATGAGTTGTGTAATTTTAAGATGTTGTGATGTAGAAAAGGATGATCCACACTGTATCACTCCAGACTCCTGGGGTGGTGCCAGCATTGGACTGCGAACCACAAGATCAGCCGTTCAAACCCACCAGCTGCTCCTCAGAAACCCTATACAGGGTTGCTATGAGTCGGAACCAACTCAATGGCACTTAACCACAAAAACAAACCAACCTTGCAGTCCAGCGCAATAACCCATATAGCACCACACCAGGACTCCACCTACTTATTAGAATTGTTAATATTAAAAACAAATATATGACAGTACTGAGTGCTGGCAGATTTCAAAAGACTGGAACTCTCAGCCATTGATGATGGAGATGAAAATTTTATAGCAACTCTGGAAAACAATTTGGTAGTTACTTATCGCAGAAACCAGCAGCTCCATGATGAGGTATTTATGTAGGAGAATTAGAAATTCAGGTCTGCATAAAAGCCTGTATACTAATATGTATGGTTGTTTTGTTTATAATTTCCTAGATTTGGACACAGCCCAAATGTCCATTAGCTGGTGACTATATTAACTGTGGTGGACCTATGTTATTGGAGTTGTTAGGTGCTGTTGACCTATGCACAACAGAACAGAGCACTCCCTGGGCCTGCACCGTCCTCATAGTTGTTACATGTTTGAGCCTCATATTGCTGCCACTGTGCCAGTCTGTCTCATTGCGAGTCTTCCTCTTTTTGGTTGACCTCCACCTTTACCAAACATGATGTCCTTATACCATGTACCTACTATGAGAGATTGAAGTCTCACCATTGTATCTTCGAAGGGAAGGAACACTTAGTTCATCCATACGTCTTCCAGAACTGATTTGTTTCTTCTTTTGTAGGCCACGGTGCTCTCAGTATACTTTGCCAGCACCCTAATTCGAATATCTCAATTCTTCTTCACTCTTCTTATTCATTGTCCAGCTTTCGCATGCATATGAGATGACTGAAACACCTTTGCTCTTTATTTTTAAAATTCTAGTTTTCCGTGAACTTTCTGAAACCTCATATATATTGATATATGTGTACTTAACTGGGTTTGCTCCTCCCGAGAACCCTGCGTAAAACATGGTCTGTCTTGCTTTATAAAACCCCAGATCATTCCCACCTGTGCCAGGCTTGGTCCCTCCTCTGACCGCTGACAAGGACACTTCTGGTAGCATAGTCTAAAGTGTGGGCCCTTGTTTCCCAGTAGGTAAAGTGGAGTGTGGGGTAAGTTTAATTCAGTTCAGTTTAATTTACTAAATATGTATTGAACATTTATTTTTGGGTCAGATACTTTCAGGAACTTGATAAGTGCCGATGAGTTGATTCTGACACATAGTGACCCATATAGGGTTTCCAAGGAGAAGCTGGTGGGTTTGAACTGCCAACCTTGTGGTTAGCAGTCCAGGCTTATCCTATAGTGCCCCACTTGTTGTTGTTAAGTGCCGTTGACTCGGTTTTGACTCACAGCGACCCTGTCTAGGGTTTCGAAGAAATGACTGGTGAGTTTGAACTGCCGGCCTTATGGGTCAAACCGACCTTGTGGTCCACAATGCCATACCAGGACTCCATAGTGCCACACTAGGGACATATCAATAAAGTAGACAAAGATACCTGCTTTTGTGGAGTTTACATTGCGTGTGATGAAGACCGGGAATAAACAATAACCATAAGTGAAAAATGCTGTAGAAAGAAGAAAGAGTAAAACAAAGCCAGTTGGAAAGGTTGCGTTGCCCACTGATTTTTTTTTTTTTTTTTTACTACTGCTGACTATGGTGATCAGTACAGGCCTCATTAAGAAGGTGGCATTTGAGTCGAAGAAGGTTGAGAGAGTTATGCACTGACAGAAAAGAGTTATTTCCAACAGAAGGCAGCGTAAAGACTAAGGCAGGAGCTTGAGGTGAGCTCGCAGATCTGTGAAGGAGCCAGTGTGGCTGGAGCAAGGTGACATAAGAGGGAGAGTTGTCGGAGCTCCCGCAGCCCAGCTCTGCATTTCAGTGGGACTGTGTTGACCCGTCCATCGTGAAGCACACACTTCGTTGGAGACAGTTTGTATCCTAGGAATATTCAGGAATGATACAGCTCCTTCTCAGATGTGAGGAGGGAACTGTAACCTCCAGAATGTTTTCCTTTTCCCTTTGAGCTAAACAGAGAGAGTAGACTAAAGAGATAAGAGGCCAGGACAGCAACCTCCTGAGTCTGGTGTTGTGTTACTGTTAGGTTCCACTGAGTTGGTTCTGACTTAAGAACGGCACACCACCACTCAGGTTTCCTGTCCTCACAGTCATTTCTCTGTTTGAGCCGACTGTTGCAGCTACAATGTCAATCCGTCTCATTGAGGGTCTTTCTCTTTTTTGCGACTCTCTAATTCCAGTGTGTCAGTTCTTCAGTTTTTATTGTCCAGCTTTCTCATGCGTATGAGGTGATTGGGTCAGGTGTATCTTAGTTTTCGAAGTCCACATCTTGGCTTTTTAACGTTTATATGTCATTTGGTTTCTTGATTACTGCTTCCATAGGTGTTAACTATGGAATCAAGTAACGTGAAATCCTGGACTGCTTCGGCGGTGTTTTCTCCATGTATCATGATGTTGCTTACTGCTCTAATTCCGGGGAGTTTTCTTTCTTTTATGTTGAGATGAAATCCACCTTGGGGCTGAAGGCTTTGGTGTCCATCAGTGAGAGCTTCGGGTCCTGTGCACTTTGATCAAGCAAGGCGGATGGCTATTGCAGGTTGTTCATGTGTCTTCCTCACATCCCCATACTGCTTTCCCCTTCAGACTGCTTTCCCCTTCTTAACAGTCCAACTTCCCAGGGCATGTGCTCAGCATACAGATAGGCTTTCCTGATTTTAAACTAGGAGTATCTTCTTGTTTTGTTAGAATGCCTCTTGCTCTTTGTATAGTTTCCTCATGAGCACAACTATGTGTTCTGGACCCCATTCTTCACATTGTCATCTATAATTTGATATGATCTGCATAGTCAGTAAAACACAGGCAAACGTGTTTCTGGTATTCTCTACTGTCTGTCAGGATCTGTCTTACAGCAGCAGTGATGTTCCGTGTTCCATATCCTCTTCTGAGTCTGACTTAAATTTCTGGCGTATCCTCTTTCTGAATCTGTCTTCAGTTTTTGACAACTCCCCGTCCATGTACTGCAGCAACTAGTTTTGCGTTATCTTCAGCAAAATTTTACTTACACATGATGTTAATAATAATGCTCAATGATTTCTGCATCCTGTTGAGTCACATTTCTTTGGAAGGGGCACAAATATGGATGTTTCCTAGTATGTTGGCCAGGTAGCTGTCTTCCAGATTTCTTCATATCAATGAAAGAGTGCTTCCAGTATTGTACCCATTTGTTGAAACATCTCAGTTGTTATTACGCAGTCTGTTCTTGGAGCCTTGTGTTTCACTAATGCCTCTAGTGCAGCTTGGACTTGTTCTTTCAACACCATTGGTTTTGAGTTATATGCTACCAATTCTCTTGGAGTCCTGGCATGGAGTTGTGGGATTAACACTGGACTGATAACTGCAAGATCAGCAGTTCAAACCTACCAGTGCTCCTTGGAAACACTATAGAGGGTCACGATGAGGTAGAACTGACTCAATGACACTTAACAGCATGCAATTATTTTTGGTACAGTGAGTGACTGCACTATTTCCATTTTCTTTTGATACTTCTGGAGTTGGTCCATATTTTGCCCATGTTGTGAAGTGCCATTGAGTCGGTTCCGACCTATAGCGACCCTGTATAGGGTTTCTGAGGAGCAGCTGGTGAGCTTGCAGTTCAAACGGCTTTGCAGTCTGACACATTAACCCACCGCGCCACACCAGGACTCCACCCATGTTGTTAAATGCTGTTAAATGGGTTCTGACTCAACAGTGACCCTGTATGGGGTTTCCAAAAGAATAACTGGTGGGTTTGTGGTCAGCAGTTCATTGCTTATCCTGAAGTGTCAGACTAGGGCTCCGTTTTACCCACAGAACCATTCAGTAGTGCAACTTGAGGCTTAAATTTTTTCTTAGTTCTTTCAGTTTGAGAAGTGCTGATTGTGTTCTTCCCTTTTGGTTTTCTTATTTGAGGTCTTTGTACATATTGTTATAATACTTGGTCCTTTTTCAGTCTTCTGTTCAGCTCTTTTAACATCATCATTGCATCCATTCACTTTAGCTACTGAATCTTCAAGAGCAAGTTTCAAAGACTCTTCTCACATCCATTTTTGTCTTTTCTTTCATTCCTGTTTTTTAATGACCTTTTGCTTTTGTCATGTATGATGTTCTTGAAGTCATCCCAAAATGCTGGTCTTCAGTCATTAGCCAATTAGCCAAATCTCTTCTTGAGATGGTCTTGGAATTCAGGTGGGATATACTCGGGTTGTAATATGGTTCTTTTGTACTTGTTTTAAGTTTCTTCATCTCCAACTTGTACATACCTACATATGAGCAAGTGATGATCTCATCCACAGATACCACCTGGCCTTGTTCTAAA